TCCGGTAACGCCCAACACCAGACTCATCTTACATTATAAAATTGTTAATTTCTATACCTCAAACGATAAAACAGAGGAACATGGCCGCGTCAGGAAATACGTTGAGAGCACTTTTACTAATTTACTTTTATCATAATTACTTTTTCACTTCTACATCGCGCGGTGGAGTTTCTCCTAGAAACGAGTCGGTCGCGTGTTCCCCGTAGCGTTCAGAGCCGTGCGCGCATTACTTCATTACGGCGACATAATTAAACAATCCGACCAAAGGAAACCGCTTTGTCCTAGTGACGCCACTTTGACGTAACTATTCGGGTGAACTCGGTTATAATCACTTCCGCGGTCGTTCACCTTCCGCTTTGCGCGAGGTAACGTTATTTTTGTATAATTGTCGTTATAATACAGGAAATTTAATTGAATTTAAAAATTTCTCACAAAATTTCTCGTAAAAGTCAAAACTTGTCATTTTTGTAATCGACTCTGAATATTATTTTACTCTTACTTCCATTTAATTTCATTGTAAAACTCGTTGTTACGTTAAATAATTTACTTTAATTCAAAAAATATAACGAGTTCGTATACCAGAGGCATTGTGCTTATACGTAATTAAAATGACGGCGAACAACGAGCCACGCACGCAAGCTAGAAACGATATCAGTTCTGGTCTATTTAGTCGCCGGTTTGGTGCACGCAAAAGACCGAATTCGTCTATCTTTCATCTTAATCAGCCCACGCGTGGATTCATTAACGCGTACTGTACGTGTATCGCGGCACGCTCCTGACGAATTATGGCAACGGTTTTTGCACACTTTTCAATCGAGACCCATGCAACTCGGTGAAATGTCGAGCTTTCTACCTCGTGAATCGTTTTGTGGAACTAGTAGCTAATAGTAGCCTCGAACCTAAATAGAAATTTATTTCATTCTGCAAATATTATAACACGAACTTTACTTCCAATCTTTTTTTACATTCTACCACATTGCTTGCATTTTGTAGTTTCTCGCGCATTCAAATTTCCTGTAAATGCACAAAGATTCGCGGTCTACTTATTGTATAATATATTTGATAGAATACATCTGTACTATTGATATAGGCGCATTTTATTCTTAAAAAAAAAAAAAACAACTATCCCTTCTGAAATTCCCTTTATAAGAATACCTGTAATATTCTTTCGAACGAAAGTTAGAAGAAATCGGTCGAAAATAAATGTCAGCTGTGAAAATTGTTCAAATAATAAACACGTTACATATTTCTTAAAACTTAATGCCTGTGTACCTTAATGCCTATGTTTCCTTGCATAACGTTCTCTCGAACAAAAGTTACAACACTAAACGTCAGCAGTGATAATTGTTGAAATACCAAATACGTTACATACTTCTGAGAATGTAATTTAGAAAAATCAGGTTTCTAAAGATTATAGTCGTCGAAGCCTCGTACGATCTTCGCATCGAGCCACGAAGTTTTCGATCAGCCCTCGTACAATAATCCCGCGTTACTTTTCCAATGCCGTACCCCGTTCCATTTCCCAATTTCCATGTTCGCGAAATATCTCTTTCCGGCGACAGTGGTCCAACGTCGTTTCCACGACTCGTCGTCGCCGCTCGCCGTTCCTATCGATCACGCGACTTGTTGACCGAGCAATTCAGAGAAATAACATTCGTGCCGCGATATCCCATTGTCCGTCGGCCGTGCTAAACGAAAATGCAGAAATCCCGAGCGCGGGTTCGCGAGAAGGCAAGGGTTCGCCGTCGTTACGATGGTCGCCAGACCGAAAACCAATCATCTCGCACGACCGACGACGCACTCGAGGAACCTTGAACTCTGCACCCGACCGACGAAGTCGGAATTTCCACGTTCCACGGCCCGAATGCCTCGAATTCCCGTCGATTTCAACCCCCCCGTGAATTGCATTCGGAGAGTAAAAAAACGAGAGAGCGGACGGTACGGAGTTGGATCGCGACATTGGAACGTCGAGACGGTCGCTGTTGACCTTTTCGGGAAGCGTTTATCCCTTGATGTTGTTTCGGGTGTTCTCGGTAAGAAAATCCCTAGAGGGGATGTCCTTACGCAGATAAGTTTCCAGGGAGGTTATCATCTGATTTCGTTGTTTTAAGATTTTTCAGTAAGGAAATCCCGAGAGAGGACATCCTTACAACGCAGATAAGTTTCGGATAACGTTGTCCCTTGATGTTGTGCTTTAAGATTTCTCAGTAAGAACGTCCCTAGAGAAGATGTCCTTACGAACGCAGATAACTTTCAGACAAGTTTATCCCCTGATGTTGTTCTAAGCTTCGTTGGTAAAATGAATCACAAGAGAGAGAAATGTTCGTTACATTTAAAATGTTAATATTCGCGTCCCTTTCAGATTTATTTTATTTCGTTAGATCAAGCTCGTTTATAGGAAAAATCTGTAGAGGATGACTTTAGTTAATTGACAGTCAAGAACTTTATTGCGATACAATCTATCAAACTTCCAATGTCGTTAAATAATTTGATTCGTGAATTACTGTAATAATGTATATAGTATAAATTAAATATACATTTGACGAATTATTAAACGTTTTCTAGAAATGTGTAACATAGTTGCAACTTCACTTTCGGTAAATATAACTTCATTTTCAGTAGCTCCCGAAAAACTTGTCAAGGAAAAATTAGCATATTTGTATTCTAATGCACAATAGTCACAATTTTCTGTTCCGTCCCTTAAAAAGTTGCTTCGACCAAATGCTTTTTGCGAAAGGAGTAGAAAATTCCACTGCTTCGGTATGAAACTCATTATAGTGAAACATTCCGCACGATAACATTATTCAGGCCCCTTTTAGGTCTTCTAATTTCGTGAAAACGCTTGAACTTTCACGGCCAGAAGTGCTCGTCGTGGAATTCCACCGGAACATACAATTTTACGCGAATGGAACTTCACCCTGCCGCAGTTAGAAATTAAATTTAGAAATTAATTTCGTGGAATTTTAACGAAACGCGTGAACTACGCGTGGGATCGAGTAGATCCTGCCCGAGGGTACCTCGAACCTCGATACTCGAAGTTCGATCCAGTTAGAAGGGAATTCTAAACGATCGAGCTTGGGTCCACGCGACTTCTTTGAAATTCTCACTGCGTTCCGACGCATTCTTTTGACGATACACGAATAAATCGGAATTGGTAGCTGTCGTTCCATAGAAATCTATGTTAATGTGCATTTCTTCGGATGAAAATTTAATTTGACGATAATAACTCTGAAGCAATAATACATTAGGCGTAAATATATAAAATATTTTGAAGATGTTGCTAATCAAAGAAAAAGGTAATATAATGGAAAAAGTAATAATAGAGTAAACAGAAATTTCTTTACAACGTAAAAGCTTAAAGCTTTTCTTTAAATGTGTTCGTTAATGTACCCTAGAAATTACACTAGAAATTACACTAGAAATTTTTACTGAAATAGATGTTAAGCTGCTTAAATAAATTCGCTGTCGAAGCGTGTCAAGGTGAGAGTTCCCGAATGTCAACAGACAGAAATAAATGATGTGTATATTTCTGCTTTGTGTAGCGATCGAAACGAAACGAAGGGTTCAGTGGTGCGAGTGCCAGTACTAATTTGTTAAAGCAATTTGTTTCATTATCGAGAATCTTGATTTCCCACGAGTTCGACACAATTTCGGTACGTCACGTTTCTACGAATATCGACGTAGATTCGCCAGAGCCTTGGCGAGCTGTCCTGGATGTCCTCGAACCTATAAAACAGTTTGGAAGTCCATCTATTTTATTAAAACGCTCCCTGACACGACGGACATCGAATATTGACAGACTACCTCGTTTCTACGGGTCGAACGTCGGGAGTTAAAGGGAAGCAAGCGGTGAACACTTTCTGAAGACGGTAATAGCGTTGCCAAGCGTCAATCCTACGTATAAGACAAAGACCAAAGTTTTATGGTCTGAAACAAAAAAAAATTAATGTAATCACAATGTACAGAAATGATTAAAAATGGAAACGAATGAAAATTCCAATATCAATAATGATAACTTGGATACACAACAAAGATGATCGTATAATAAAATATACAAATCTAAAATCATAAAATAAGGTCCTTATCGTTAAGAAATATTTTTAAATAAAATACGTGTCCTTGAACATCTGCAAAGGAACAAATTTGAACTTGCAACATTTAAACAAGCACGACCTCGTTCGATAAGGTCTCCTCAACGGTAAGCTACGTTATAATGCATGGATAAACAAGTCGTGTAGTCGATTGACGTCACAATCGATTATTGGTATTTAAGAAATTCATATTTCTTTCGCGTGAGAATCAAACGTTCGTTGTTTAGGAATCGCATATTAAAGGTGAACATTCATTGTCGCGATGAAACCAACGCAGAGGCAAGCATAGTAATTTTCACTCAATAATCGTAATTCGTAGCAGATAGACCGTCATTATTCTAAGGGTAGGAAAGTCGCACATGCGCGTCGCTGAAACGCAGTCAAGTTAGGGTCGGTAACAACCGAGTTAAGTAGTTGTGATGGTAACCCTCGTAGTGCAGCTGTTCTATCATTCGATAGCGAGTTCACGAATCATCCTCGATTCATCCTTGCCGATGAATCAATATCGTTACCGACGAATTATCGCTAATGAAAGAGAGCCAAGGTACTGCGACCTAGACAGTTTCAAGTTCATTTGTCAACGAATAGAAGACACATGGCGAAGAATTCGCGTGTTATAAATCATCGATCAGCTGCTTGCTCTTCTGGAAGCTCTTCAGAACGAATACAACAGCTGGCAGAAAAGTCTGTAGACTTTAAGGTGTTTAAACAATTAACAGAATTTGGCATTAGTAATTTGTTCGAAATGCAAGCCTACAACTTTCACGATTATTATTAACTAAGTAAAGACACCATGAGGAATCGAAGACAGAGTCCCTGAAGGCTTCAAAACGTTCATCGACAGAATTTAATTCCAATTTCGAATAATTTTTAGAAAAAATCACAAAGGAAAAACACGATTGTTCCATTAAAGTTTGAAATTTCAAGTTTGCATAGTCTCATTCGCAAAAGTATACGAAGGAATTATTCGACGATGAGTATTGAACTTTCTATAGAGATGCAACACATCTCACGCGACAGTTGGTCGACGAATTTGACACACGAAGGATTAACGACGAAGAATTCACTGAATCGCAAAATTCTGTAGTCGTCGGGAACTTTCACAGAGTGAAGAGTACGAACTTGACACCTAGAAGGCCGACCTTCGAGCGAACGTCGTAATAACTCGCATCGCGTTCTGTGACCGCAGGTATACAGGGTGTTCGGCTACAGGTAGACTGTTTTTTAAGTAATAATTCTAGAAACCGAGACGATGTGAAAGTGAAAATGCCGAAATTCCGTTTGAGGCGTTGCTTCGGAATTGTTAATTAATAAATCCATGTATTTTCAATAATTAATAACTCTCACGCCAAGCCTCGAACGAAATTTCAACATTCTCGATTTTCACCTCAACCTGTACAGTTGAGAAACATCGGTTCGGAATTTTTATTCGACAATTGAAATGATTTATTACCAGTGCAAAGTTTCGTGCAGCGCATCGAACTCTGAGACAGATAGACAGTGCTTTGACTTTTATTTGCGCGGACATATGTCGGTTGAGAAAAACAATCGCCGTATGCAAAAGGACACGACACCGTTATTTTGTCGAAGCAATTTCCTCGAGAAAGAGACGCGCGAGTGCGCACGATGAAACGCAAAGAGGCAACGACGAAACGAAAGAAGCAAATCAAAAATGGGTCCATTCAATCGAAGGAGCTGGAAGCCCGCGGAGTCTCCATGGATATGAAAACGTCCTGGGCAGCTCAAGAGCTGACGTCCAAATACTCCAATCTGAACGACATGGTACTGTTTCCGAAGCTACTTCTTATATGCACGAGAGTTTTATTTCGAGCACTCATAAGACCGTATTGAATTGCATTATATATACACATTTCGCATCGTACTCGTGTTTCTGAGATGGTGTAGTTGACTCTAAGATTCGTTGGAGCGTAACTAATGTATTTGGAAAACAAAGTATTGTCCAATGTTCGATTCGTTAGAACATATTGATCACTGCAGGAACAAAGGATCTTTTCTAAAAATGAATTCAGAGATATATTTAAAGAGAATCATTCTGTATATATATACATATATAATAACAAAAATTGATCATACCAGTTTCTAATCTCAACTGAATCCTTCTTAATAGTTAAATATTCATTGATTCATTCGCAGGAATACTAAAATGTCACGACTATCGGCAGTGCTATTGGTATACAGTTTAAAATACAGTAAAAATAAATACAGAGATATAATTCAATATTATTAACTTATTTAACGATAAAATATTTACGCATGCAATAAATTTCGGAGATTTTCGAATTTTGTAGGTAAAAATACCTTAATGAAAAATTCTTCTAAATAGATTCTATATTCGACTCGATCCTTTTAAAAAATTCGCACCACTTTCGATAGAAATTTGCTAATAATTCCAAGTAACAGCTAAACTTCCATTAAATTGATAGGAATCCTGAAAGGTGGTGACTACGGGTTCTTCATTTAAGTAGATTACATCAACTTCCATCCCAACCCAGATTCCCAATTAAATTCTTTTCAAAAATGGCCTTAAACCATTTTCTAAAAAGACGACCCAATCGGGTATCGATTCCAACTCTGAAATTATAACACTGACCTTTAAGTACCCAATCGATAACGTCAGATACAGAATATAAATATGAGAAAAAAGTCATCGGAGAAAACGATCGAAAAATTCAATGGACCATTTCGCGTGGGAAGAAACGCACCAGCTGATCGTTCGTGGCTCGCACTTGATCCCAGCATGGTAGACTACGGAGTATCGGGCCTGTGACACACATGTCCATGTATAGAGGAAGCTACACTCTCCACTGTTCCTTTTGCTTTTCCAGAACGCTGTTCGAGTGTCGTTCATGTGTCATTCACATGACGCTCGGTGCGTCGAGTCTCTCCTTTTCTGTTCCCGCGATATTCATGACACTAGGCTTTTTTCGAAACACAACGTGCCAGGATTCTCGACTCGCCTTGTTTGTCCCATTCGAGAGGGGAACTTCAACGGTCGTTCATTCTTATCCTCCCTTGGTCCGCCTCGATTTACGCTTTTCGGCTAATTACTCGGCACAGCGAAGCTTGATTTCTCAATCGCGGTACCAGCGTTCGTTTCTCTGATTAATTTCTATTCTATTCTCTAGACGTTTAAACGATTTTCGTGATTGTATCCTTATCGCGACACGAGGATGTCGGTTAATTCTTTCTTAGCAGGATTATCACTCACGCAGAAAATATTTAATCGCTTGTAAGGTGCAGAAATTCGTATCAAACTTGAGAATTTCGGTACAAATAATTGTTTAATATAAAAACAACGAGGAAAGTTGAATATAAAACGAAAATGATAAGAAAGTCGTGTGCAAAACATGATCGACGATAAATTATATGTTTGATGGTAATTTTCGATATCGTTTTATATATAACCGTCTTCGAAAGTTGAATACGAATATACGTAATAGAAAATGATTCACGAATTAATTATTATCAATTTCATTTTGTGCCTAACATTTTTTTTTAAGTTTTCTACATTTAAAAAGTTCTTTCCTGATTCTCAATCGGTCATTCCGTTGAATACTGTGGTTCTTTGTCGCTTTACATTTTTGCATAAATATTTATTGTGCATGTACGTCGGTTACGTCAAAAGTAGCTCTATGAAGAGTTGCGAGAATTGTGTTAACAAGGTTAGCAACTATTTTTTAAATGGAAACACCAAACAAGTCATGCAAGAAGGAGTATAAGGAATTATTGACAGCTAACACTACGTGTAAGTAGAACGTGGCGTCTGACTATAATGTCTGATAGAATACGATTCGCACAGAAGGTCTTTTTCCTTCTTATAGAACCTCAATAGTTTCGCGTAGAATGAAATATGTACACCTTCATAAAAGTACCAAGTGGGAATCAATTTTATTTAATACGTACTTGTTTGACATTCTTTGACACAGTGGACTGTAATTTATGACCTGTTATCAATAGTATTTACTCGAGACATTTCTCAATAGATTCTGTTCTATTTTTTACCGGCTTTTACTATAAATTTACAGATTAAAAATTAATTCAATTTGTTACGTTCATTCGGTAATAAATTTATCTATGATTGAAGATTTAATCAGATGTTCATAAAGAGATTCGTAATAATTCTTGTTATATGTTATTTAAGGTTATAAATTACATTCGAATAAATTAGATTTGGATCCGAAAAAGGATAAATTTGATTCGATTGGTAAATAAATACGATCAACGTATAGAGCAATTTATTCGAAAATTTGTTCAATTGCCCTTTTCCGAAATATTTCGTTATATAATTCAAATCTCAACTTCCATTTAACGAGTAGTAGGTATACTCGTGTCTAGTTTGCGCTGTATTTAGTTAAATAATAAACTTACAGATGCAGTAGTAAGACATACGATTTTAAAAATAAATTCAATAAAATAGCGAGCCATTAGCCATTATTTTCATTTTATTCCTCGTTTATTTTACGAATTGCAGATCACCCTGTACATCAACGTTCCCCATCGCCGTTTGTTTCATTATTTTTGCTCCTCTCGTTGAACGTATCCTCGATATCAACCAAATTACGGTGCATCGTGCGGTTTCTTGCGAAACATTCGGCGTTGACCTCCTTTTCTCCTTTTCTCCGCTGCTTCTTGCTTCTTTAATGTACCTGCAATTTTTCCTCCCCTCCCCGTTCTTTCTCTGCCTCTCTTTGGAAGTCTAACACGGTAACCCGGACCGTTGTTTGAGAGCAAGTTGAACGTACTCTTCTCGTGCGTCCAGTTTTCAGTTCCACCCACGCGCGATCCGTTCCATCGAGTTGCTATTTTCGGCCATAAAAATATCTTGACATCTGTTTTCGTTCCTCTGGCCACATGCTCCGTCTTCGTCTGCCGTTTAGCGACGTCTCTGCGACCTCTATTGTAATTACCATACCTGTTCTTTCGCGTGGGCAGCGCGCAGCGCAAAGGAGCCGTAACGTTCACGTTTAAGAGGCTGGATTCGATTTTCCGACGAATCGATATTTTTGCTCATGCGGAGGAGTGTTTCGACGTCTTAAAGGCAATGCGAATGGCGATTTTGGGAACGTCGTGTCAAGAACCAAGGGATGGTTCGGACCAAATTTCGAACGTTCACTCAGGTGTGTCAAGGTCGCACCTATCCCGATTCTATCGTGACCGTCCATCAACCGTGGATCGTTACAAATCTGACATCGATCAGCGGGATCGCGAGCCAGCCGAGCGGCTAACGCGAAAATAATTGCGACTGGAAAACATTTTACAATCCCGTAGGCGACCTTCGACGCTAATGCGTCCAATCAACGTCTCGTTATCATTACGAATTACGCACTCACGCTCGGTCTCGTCTCGAAATCGTACGCGCCCAGAACACGTGTATGTACAAAGCGAAGCGGCCACCGGTACGTGCTCATTAGGAATAAATCAATTAGCAGGCTGCCTGATTGCCGCCTCACCGATTCGACGGATATCCAATTAACAGTTTCCTCTTGATTATCAAACAATTCCTGATCTTTCGGCGAAGATGGCTCCTCCGTAACCGATTGCCGCGCGCGACGCGACGTGCCGATGTTGCGTAAACGCGATCGTCTTTAATCGCGTCCAACTCGAGTTCGCGTGCAACTCGAATCGACTCCTCGAACCCTTTAAAAAGAGGAGCGGATAGAGTCGCGAATCTTACTTGCTGGTATCAAGAGGCTCGGGTAGCTTTATTTCTTACTATTCTTAAAATTATTAGCGCGAGTTCGTGGGTTTTTTACGTTGTTTCAATGATCGTGCAATTTTCTGAAGTCGTTAGAATTACGCGAGCGTTGTAATGTAATATAATAATCTGAACCCTAACTACGAATATAGATACCTACAATTTTTTTGTTTAAATTAAATAAACCAAGATATTAAAATATTCCAATAACCGAACCCAGTGAAAATTCGTGTTATAAATGTGAGAATAAATTTCTCGACGGATCCTGTGTGTTCGATTGAGAGTATCACCCGAAATCGATAATTCGCGAATATAATAATACGAAGCTTGTCAGGGAATACGAGAAATACGGAAATTACATTTTTTTAATTAGTTTTCTCCGCCTGAGAACCAAACAGATACGAAGTTCGATACGATAAACTTCGACTCTTTTACCGTGCAAAAGCATCCGTTAAAATTATCATCAGAGGGATGGCACGGTACGAAGAAATATTCAAAGAAATCAGGCCAAACTAATTTACTTGCAGTTATCTTTTAATTAAATTTGTATTTGTCCGATGATCAGACGATCCGAGTTGAAACGGATCCATTGGTGCGTCGACAAAAATTGCATACTTTATGGATTAATGTCGATCCTTTCAGAGGATGTAACGTAACAAATTTTGCCATAGGAAATTCTCTTGTACGAAGCGGTCTTTGATTTCTACAAAATTACCGATTCCAATTTCTAGCGCGTTAAATTATATTTCTTTGGAGCTAATTCGGTTGTATCGAAGTCTTCTTCGGGTAAAAAATGAAGAATTTCGAAAGCGTTGAAGGTATAACAGGTAGAGATTTATGAATGAAGACACTCGAAGTATTGTTTCAAGCTTAAATCGAAATAAATACAAATCGTCAAAACGGAAAAAGGTGTCATCTTCCTGAACAATCCTTCGAATCCTAAGACTGTACCGGTCAAAATTAACCCAGCTCCTCGGAGGGACAGTTAAGGGCGAAAATTTCCTCGCTTCAGCGTGGCAACGAGTTTACTAACCCCTTCGCATGTAGGTTAAAACGAATCGATGAGATTGCACGTTAGCTAACGTGCGAGCCTCGCGTATGCATCGTTTGCTATAGCGTTCGAGGCTATGGTCGTACGAACAGCGGTTAACCAGGAGTCGCAGCCCGACTGGCGTTAACTCCGGTTGCGAATCTCGACTTCGTTTAATTATTTCCACGGGAACCGAACCTCCAAGCTGATTAGAGGTGAATTGGATCGATCGAAAGGGAGTCGGTGGTGCGCGCTTATTTAACCCGCGGGCGTCGGTATTTGTCTTCTTCCGATCATTTAAAGTCGAGGAATCGTTGATAAGCACCACATTGTTTTGGAAAAAACTGGAAGGAAACGTTTTTGGACATTTTCATAGTTGCAATGTCGAGCCTAGAGAATTGTCTGTGATATTTTAATTAATGAAGAATCGACGTTGACTCTGAGAGACTTCGAGACTCTGTGTTTCTTGGAGACATTCCGATTTGGAAACTTCATGGACCGTGTTCCTCGTTGCAAACCCGCAATGTTTCTTGATTGACCTAATTGAAACAATTAACAGCACCAATTGGTCTCGATATTGAGTCATAAAGAGATTGTACTAAACAACTTCACCAGAGGGAAGAAATCACGCTTGATCACTGAATCGTCCGGCAACAGCTTAATCCTCGAGTCTTTGAAGGATCAAGTCCGAAGGAGGTATAATGATCGGATTAAAAGAAAATCTGCGCTTGTCGCAGGCTCGATTCCAGCAAAAGCAGCTGCAGGAGAAGGAACAGAAGTTGCTGCAGCTCTACGACCAGCAACAACAGAGGGCTTATCAGGTGATGCAACGAGGTAGCGCTGGTTCCAACAGCTCGAATCATACTACATCCGTCAGCCAGCACACCGTCACAAAGACCTCGAACAGCAGCCATACAACCTCGACCTCGCAAGGTGGTAAGGTGAGTGATTCTCCGCGCGGAAACGCGACGCGTTCTCGTAATGCTGCTTCGCGCCACGCTTCCCCGAACCGCGTAATGGCCACTGTTCCGATGTTAAAAATCGAGGCAAATCGCATCACCATTCCTACAGCTTTTACCAATTTTGCGACGCAGACATAATCTATACATATAAATAAAATTGATGCGCAGGTCTATAGTTTCGGAATAACGACTTTTCACACCTTGCCAAAACCCAAACACACAGTTTTGCAAAATCGATTTTAAATCGACTAAAAGCATTTTCTACGACACCCACCCAGACACACGTTCCACTGTGACGATAAAATCACGACGTAACTAGTAACTAATACAAACCATAAAATAAAATAAGGTCAATCGGCATATATTACCAGAAGCAAACGAATCGAAATAAACGAACGTTGCACACCGTGATCACACAAGGAATCCAATGATCGTTCGTTCGAGATGAAAGGAGACACGAGAAACGTCTTATTCTCTATCCACGCTACGCAAGCTAACTTACACAAACACACAACGTGCCTAAGTTCGCGGTATCTGTACGCACACAAGAGAGAAGGTCTTGATTAATCGCAAATACACCTGGTCTGTCGCTGTTAAGGTGAGGCAGATGTTCGACGAGAGACGCCACACGACCGTGAAGGGCATCGACAGGAGCTACCCGCTGGAGCCACTGGAGAACAAACCGCGGAAACAAACGAACGGAAACGCGACGCAGAAGAACGGAAATTCGACGGTGAACCGACACTCCGTGACTGTGAAGCGAGCGGCGCGGGCTGACGTGAACAGCAATTTGAATGGCGGCAAACCGGTCGTCTCGTATCACGAGGAAGTCACTCGAGAATCGTTTGTACCATCTGTACAGGGCCACACGGACGACGACGAATTTGGAAACGAGAACCATGTCGCTCAGTATGCCAATGGCAACCATCGAGATGACGTAATTACATTTCTACCATCTTTTCTTTGCACTCTCCTATATTACTATTAACGTTATGTCAAGACGATGAATCTACATCATCATTCCGTATGTTATATTTCTTTAATTGTTATTTAACGGAGTTTCAAAGATTCAAAGATATTAGAATGTTCTATTGTTTGCTATGATAGATGTACCGAATATATTAGGTTCTTCAAAAAGTTATGAATGTCTTTCTTCCATTTCATTGATGAGTAATACATAGACGATATTTAATGTCGAATGTTACGTTATTGTTAGAACATTGAACGATGTCTTTTAAAGACGCGGATCGAGGAGGTTCTCGACGACGATACGATAGAGAGGAATCGCATGATGGCGAAGTTACACTTGATGCAGTACGACGAGACGCTGAAGCACCGCGTTAAAAACGACCTCGAAAGCGAAGAATTCCCGGAAGACTTCATGGTGGATGTACCTGACAAGCTACCGAAACAAAGTGTTACCAAGAAGCTGTCCCAGGCGGAGGCTAGATTGGAGCGCTTCAGGAACGCCAACGCGAAACGAAGCAACAGCATTACGAAAAATACGAGCACGATCGGCGTTCCCAGGAAACGGTTCGACCCGATATTTCCGGCAAAGTCTACCTCCAGGTACGTGAACTTACAGTTAACTTAGAAATTGATAGATAAAATTGAACCGCGAATTTTATACATTTATTGTGAAAACGTGTGCGATTGTACAGTTGATCAGCTAATATTATTGTACTGGTGGTAATCAAATAACGAATGATAGAAAACTTCTTACACGAAATGTGAAATGAAAAAACGAAGAAACCGATTAACGATTTATCAATTAGAATACATTAGGTTCACCTCGAAATATTGTGCATTTCGAAACTTGCATTTAATATGATTGCATTTATAATGATTGCATTTATAATGATTTCCATTAAATCAATCAATGATCCTCTATCATTACACCGAACGCGATTCCTTTGCGTGTTCGAGAAACTGCGCTTGAGAAGATCTACAGTTTCGTGTCCAATGCATACAAATCGAAATTCTTTCTCGACTCATTCCGAAGGCAAATGAAATCCATAAAAAAAATTTCCAACACGTATCCATAAGCTTATCAAACAATTCAACATGAACCAAAGTGGCCGAAAGTGTGCAATATTTTCCACCCCTACATACTCGAGAACGCAAGTATAAGTCTCGACGATCGCATCGAACCTCGACAAACGCAAACTTTTCGTCCGCTAATTGGCAATCGATGCTAACAATCTGTCGCTGCTTTCACCTCCCCACCCCCCACCGGCCAAACCCACCCCCTCTCGATTAATTTCTCGGTCGCATAATTGCAATCGCTGACTAGACACGACTCGTTTAAACCCACGCAATCGTAGTCGCCTAACAATGCCACGCTCCCTGAAAGCGATCGTCTCGAAAGAGCAAGCTAAACGACGCGTTTCCGGCGAAGCAGAGGCGCAGCGTCTCCGGTTTGTCACGGACAAGGAAGACGCCCCGCTCTAATTTACGTCCGCCTAACCGCTATCGGCGAAAGGATAATCGCTCGAAGGACATTAAACACTCCATCAGCATAACAATTACTCGCCAAAGCATGAAGCCTCATTAGCGGACCGATCACGGAGAGAAAAAGGTACGCCGCGAAGCATTAATCACGCATAAACGACCCGCGGTCTCTTTTATGGGCAATCGGAATCGGAGGAGGAGTGCAGCTTTTCTCACGATGCTTGAAGCGTTCCTTCGTAACGCAGGCTTAACAAAACGCGTTGCTCGTCCGGAACCGAAGGATCCAGGACCAAGAAGACGCATCTGGCTTAAGATCCTCCTGCGAAGAAGAATCACGCATCATTTCTTTTCGATTCGCTTCCTCCTCATCTGTCCTGTTCTCTAACTGCAACACTCAGGATTAACGCCGCGGTAGCCAGCGGAGAGAATAGATAAGATTAATAATAACGATGTATTGGTTGTGGTTTTGTAGCGGGATTAAGGACGCGAAGAGCAGGACGAAGAGTCCTCGGAGCAGCGGAACGAGGGATGCGACGTCTAATAGCACGGAGGAAACTCTCTCGTCGTCGGAGTCTGAAAGAACCGTGAAACGAAAAAGCGATACGCGGTTCTTTTGCAAGGATTCCAAGAGATCTGCTACCACTTATGATTCAGAAACTAGCGAACGATTGTCGCCTGATTTTTTAAAGGATAGAAAACCTCGACGCGAAAGTCCGAAGTACCTTTGCGAGGAGTCCGAGAAGTCAGCTACCGCGTATGTAACGGATTCAAAAGCTGAAGTATCGAAAGGTAAACATCGTCGTAGCGAGGAACCCGAATTCTTCTGCAAGGAATCTAAAACTTCAGCTACCACCTATGCGATTAATTCGAAAGCTTTCGGAAAACTTCGTCCAAAGTTTTCGAACGACGCAGAACGTGCTGTGAAATCAATAAAAAGTAAAGATTGGTCTATCGAATCCAAAGGAAGATCTACTAAATCACCGATCGTGGGTGTAGATACCGTAGACAGGGACTTTATATCCCTTGGTCGATCTCCATCTCCAGGTAGTCAAAACGCTAACCTACTTGAAAAAATCGAGACCAGAGATGGTACGAAACTGGTCTCAAACGAATCGTTCAACGTTTTCGAGCGATTAACGAGCCATAACACGAGTCCCAGGTATCCTTATCGAGAACCTGGAAGTTCAACGATGAGAAACAACGCGAGAGGCTCTAAACTGATGTCTAAATCGCCAGAATTTCCCGAGAAGCTCGCGAAAAAGCGCAGCGATGGTTCAAAAGTGTTTCGCAAACACGACCATTCAGGTATTCATTCGAGTCCTTCGTCGCAATCGCCAGATTCCGGGAAGACGATCTCCAGAAAGTCCAGCACAAGCCCTCGCTTCTTTTCCACGGACGCAGACAGGTCAGCCACCATTATGCTGGTAATCCCAGAAACGATAACAAAGGTGAGAACAAGATCAACGTCTCCGAGGAAAGAGAAAAGTTCGAGATTTTCTATCGACAGGTTTAGCTTAGCACCTGCGAACAAAGTTGCTGGATCAAGTAGAAGAACCTCCAAGGAAGACCTCGACGAAGGTACCAGGTACAACATACGAAGCTCGGTATCGAAATTTTTCTCTGAACAATGCGAAAAGGCTTCCAGAAACGTAGACGTCGATGCGCGATTCAACAGAAGATTCGACAGAAGCTCTGACTTGTCGCGCAGCTCCTCTCCAGTGTCGCTGAAGGCCATGAGAACTCAAAGACAGACAAAACCAACAGACAGAGGTCTACCATCGAGGAAGATCGACACTAGGAAGTCTTCATCGAGGATAAAGGATAGTAGAAGCGGGACACCTGAATTTGTTTCTTACGAAACAGATAAGCCTGCCACCACGGTGAGTCTCGAGCCGAAAGTTACGAAAGACTGGACGAACAAACGTTCCGAGAGTCCGCGATTAGAGAAAAGTGGCTGTAGAAGCGTCCATAGTGGAAATAGATCATCAAAGAGCCCTGACAGCTTCGCTGTGCTCAGAGATGTTGAAGCGACTGAACCTCAAAGGGGCCAGACTGGTTCTAGAGGTGAGAGTAGGTCATCCGAGACAGCTGACACCTTCGTTCTTCCTGGAAACACTAAAACGACTAGTGTTGACAGGAGTAGCAGGAGCTCGCGGAAGACACCGGCAGTTGTGGATGCTAGAAGCAGGACTCCGGAGTTCTTTTGTTATGAAACAGAAAAGTCTGCTACTACCGTGAGTCTCAAACCACAGTCCAAGACAGATTCGACGAAGGAACGCTCTGAAAGTCCTGGATCGAGGCAAAGCAGTTCTACAGGTGCCCATAGTGGAGGTAGATCATCAAAGAGCCCCGACAGCATCACGCTACCTAAGGATGTTGAAGTGATCAGCGGTCATAGTAGAAGCACCAGTCGTGATTCTTCGCCGAGGCTCCGGAAGGTTCTATATAACAGAATAGGGACTCCAGAATTCTTTTGCTACGAGACAGACAAACTTGCCGCAACAGTGAGTTTGAAATCTAGACCTGCGATAGACTCAATTAACCAACGTACTAAGAGTCCTCGATCAAGATCAGGCAGCTCAACAGGTGTCCATGATGGAGACGGACCGTCAAAGAGCTTTGACAACGTCAAAGATATTAAATCAACCTCTGGATATAATAAAAGCCACTCCCGCGATTCGTCGCCGAAACTACAGAAGATCGCTGACATCAGACGCGGTACTCCAGAGTTCTACTGCTACGAAACGGAAAAATCTGCCACGACGGTCGGTCTTAAACCGAAATCCACGAAAAACACGAGAAACGAGCATTCTAAACGTCCTGGATCGGATGGCTGCACAGGTTCTCGATCTAAAAGACCATCAAAAAGTCCCGACGTCTTCGCTCTATCCAAGGACGCCAAAGCGACCGCTCGAAGGGGCTCTGGCAACATCCTGCGATCAACGAAGCTCATTCGCGAGATCATAGAACACCAGAAAGATAGAAATCAGCCCGATCGTACTTTACAGAACAGCTCGAAAGAGTCACGAAGGCCTTCGATAGCACCCGATGATACCACAGGAATATCACGCGTCGATATTGCTGGCGAGAACGAGGTAGACACGGTCAGGGTGAACAGAAATGTCGACGAAAGGTCACCGACGCCTCCCACGCGAACGTACGACCTTCTCACTCCAGAATCGAGTCCCAAAAGTTCTATTTCCGCGGAGGTGGACGCCGAGATTCGAGAAATCACCATGCCCGATCAATACTTGGAACGAGGGAAACTTCGCCGTGAGCTTCGAAGCACATACTCGAGGTCTTCCAAGGAGACCTCGCAAGCTTCGATCGAGTCGAAAGCTGAGAACGCGTCCACGTACTCCGTTCGTAAACCTGGCAAAAAGAGAGGATCCCTCTTCGAATTGGACATCTTCGAGCCGACGAAAAAGCGTCAGCAGGCTCCAGATCATCGGAGAATCACGGAGTCGAAGAGAAGCGCAGGCTTCGCGAGCAAAGCGATAGGTTCGAAGGCTCGAGATGGAAAAACCGGGAACTCCGAGCGTTCTTGCGGCAGCAGCAGCCCTTCTCCCACGAGTGAATCGCTTTTTCGCGCCACGAAACGTCGAATCGGAGCTGCAGCGAACGAGGAAAATCGTGCGAAAAGTTTGCGATCCAAGAATACGGAGAAGTCGCCAAGAAAGCAGCCTGTAGCCTTGGGGTCCGTGGAACTGGTGCGAAAGATCATAAAAGGGACGCGATCCGTGGCGACTAACGAGGTCGAGCGTAAACAGGAAGCTATGAAGAAATTGGAGGGCGAGATTAAAATGCGGGATATTGATTCTGTTGTATCGAGGACAGTAGAGTTTATGAAATACGAGGAAGGGTCGTCGAGAACGTGTTACGAAAGGACGGACTCGGTGGAATCCGCCCTGAGACGTTTCGATTCCATCGACGCAGTGGCGTCTGTCCAAAGCACGCTGGAGAGAAACGAAGAGATAGGAGAAAGACGAAACAGATCGTTAAAGACTCCTGACATCTACACTGCGTCGAAGGATGTGAAAATATCTGACAGTGCTAGTAGAAAGAGCAGTCGTGAATCATCGCTGATCCTGGAGAGTAAACACAAAAGTCCAGAGTTTGTTTGTTATGAAACGGACAAACTTGCCACGACCGTGAGTCTCAAACCTAGGGATACAATCGATTCGTTTAATCAACGCTCTGAGAGCCCTCGATCGAGACCAGGCAGCTCTACAGGTATTCGTGGTGCTGGTATGCTCCCCAAAGATGTTGAGCTAATTAATAATTTGAATAAAAGAAGCAGTCGTGAATCACCGCTCCATAAAATTCGGGATAGTAAGTCTAATAGTCCAGAATTTGTTTGCTATGAGACAGACAAAGTTGCCACAACAGCGAATCTCAAACGTAAGCCTACAATAGGTGCGATCGACCAACGTTCTGAAAGGCCTCGATCAAGACCAGGTAGCTCCACAGGTGTCCATGATGGAGGTAGATCGTCAAAGAGTCCCGACACCCTAACTCTGCTCGATGATAGATCGTTTGGAATCGATAATTCAGCAAGTAGCTCGAGGACAATTTCTCTGAAAGCACTCAACCGAGCGAGTTCTCCAAGAAACCCGGAGAACAAACCATCCAGAACTTCTGCAAAGGGTGTTTTCAACAGCGAAACTCCTGGCGAAATGAGAGTACTTGGAACGCAGGAAACTCGACGTCAGAAAAAGCTGGCCACGGCCAAGGACTCATTTGAGATCGATCGAGTTCTGTCAAGGTCCAAGTCGCCAGCGTGCAGACGGAAACTCTTCCCCGATGGCGACTCGACGGAGGAAACGGAAACTGTTAGCTCATTTTCGAAGACGAAGTCGAGTAAACGCGACGCGACCTATTCGATTGGACCAAATATAAAATCAAAATGCGTGAAACCTGTTAGGGACGACGAAACGTCGATGAAAGAGGCGGACTCAGATCGTCCTGTGTCTATTAAACAGCTGAGATCGATCGAGGATATTCGAAAATCCATAGAAAACGAGAGTTCCAGGTGTGGAGAAACGAGAACGTCTAGGTCGGCCATTGCAAATAATGTTTCGAGATGTTCGAGTACCGTGCAACCGCGGCGAAGACGATCGTGTCCATTGAATGGAGACACTCGTGTCGGGAGTAAAAGAGATACGTCTTCGTCGAAATGGTCAGAGAATCTTAGCGCGAGAGACGACAGATTAGGTGAATCAGGGCGCTCTGTAAAGTGTGCGACGCGTTTCTCCAGGGTAGCAAAAAGTCCGAGTCCAGATTTCAAGGCGACGGAAACCAACCGTACGCGAAGAAGCGTGCCTCCTACGCCGTCGAAGAGCCCGGACACGGCGACGAGGGTAAGTTGAATTGCATGAACGTTCCTTGGAAATACTGATTATAGTCTTAACAAATTCGGTAGCGTTACTTAGTTCATTTTCGTTTGTACGAGTATACGCCACGAAGGAGAATAACGAGTAATGGCCATTTCTGGAGCATTTTAGATAAGAAAAAAAAAAAGATTTGTCCAAAGTACAGAGTTACGAACGAAAACCTTTGTACTTCAAAAAATAAAAAATATCTAGTAGATTATTAAAATTTATTTGTTAAATATATATTTAATATGATTTTCAGTATTTCAACGACGTCTTCGTTTCTGAACTGGGAAATCACTTCTATTCTCATAAACGAAGGCTGTATATAAATAGTAATATTGTAATAAATTGCAAAAGAACGATCATTTTTTCTCGCGACGATTCAATAATCGTCATCGATGCTTGTATTGTATTGAAACTTGTATTGAAAAGTAATAAACATAAGAAACAACGATTTAAACGGAAAGGTCGAGACCATTCGAAAAAGTTCCGAACGAACAAATTTTTATTATAGCGTCACTCCACCGACTTGAAAGCTCAAGATACAAAATCGACGAAACGACCAGCGCCCATGAAAGGCACGGAGCCAATTGGAAACAGGAAGACGACGACGACGACGACGACTACCACGAGAAAATCGACGGATGTCGTCGATGGCGCTATTCTCGAGAATGGTCCGCATTTACGAGACCAAACTGCCGAAACGAAATACGATAACGACTCGTCGACGACGAAGAAGAACGATGCTTTTGTCATCGCCTTCGACGAACAACCGCCGAAGGAAAACGATGTTTCACTTCCGAGGAAACCACGGTTACGAAAACAATCCACGGAAGTAAGTCGCTGCCAATCATTTAAATGCGCAGATACTCAAACAAATAAGAACACTGCTAGGAACTGGTTTCTTCACGCGAGTTTTCCTGCTTTTTATTTACTTCTTGAAACATACCCCCAAAGTATGAAAATAGAGCGCTAGCTCAAACAAAACAAAAAATAATATAAAATAAAATATTTAATTTCGTGACCCACGATACCGCGATACGTACGATTACAATTGTACGATAATTTGTGATACGTACAGAAGCTATAGTTCTAGTTGATCTAACAGAGTTGGCTTTCTGTAATTTGTCGCCGTATAAACACTTCCAATTGAGCATCGTGCACAATTTTTCCACGACTCGAAGTTAGAAATAATCGAACCAGGAGACGTATCGAGGTTAATTTAGATAATAAAATGTCTCCCGCTCTCTGACACCGATCAACTCGGATATTTCAAGAGTGGAACACATGGATTGGTTGTAGCTCGCTCTTTTTTTTTTTTTAAACAATTAAGACCGCGTCGACCGAAAATTGCGAGTTCTGCTACTCCAAAATTAAGAGTGAAATTTTCCATGAACGCTTAGAAAGCACTGGTACCGCAACCCTATCCTTATCCTCAAAGTAATTCTTTCTAATTCAAGCCAATTCTAATTCCAACTAATTGTATTGCTTAGAAGCATACACCTACCTCGCAGTCTGGCCGACCTCCGTCAGTTTCGTCCACCTCAAGCGGTAGCACTATGCAGAGTCACGTTTCCACTCCGAAAAGTAGGATGTCGTCGAAAGTCCACACGCCTTCTTCCGCTACATCGACGTCCAGAGGATCGGCGTCCAATAAAACTGGCGGAAGCGTGTGCTCTGCGTAAGAATTTTTAATACCGTCAATATTTACATCGTAAACAATGTGCAGGCTATTCAACAACTTTGCATATTTTCAATTTCTGTAATGAATACGTTTTTGCATGATAACGTTTTTGCATGATAACGTTAAATCGTTAGAAAAACGGTACTATGAAAATATAGGTGCTGTATGAAATCTTCAGAACAGAAGAAAAAGACTATTCTTTTATCCGTAAATTCAACGATTCTTATTACTTAGGAAAAAGCTAAATCAATTTTCGTTGCAAGTAACCTTGTTTACGTAATCGATATTAGACTAATTTCAACGACGATATTCTTGCAGCGATCTTCTGACGCCCTGCAAAATATGTGGACGCCGTTTCGCTCAAGACCGTATAACCCTTCACGAGCAAATCTGCGCGAAAACGGGCCAAAAGAAACGGAAGCAGTTCGACACGGTGATGTTTCGCGTTAAAGGTACCGAGCTAGAGAAATTTGTCAGAAAAGGACACTGTAAAAAGCAGCCCGAGGTCAGTATACTTTAATCTGACTTCTGAAAGTCTTGAATCGCTCCTTCTTTTCCGATTCTTCGCAACTTCTATTTCAGTTCACATATACGTGTCAGGTTGAACTCAAAAATCAACATTTTTGAGGCATTAAAAACTATCTAAAGTTAATAACTGACTAAGTTAAGAACCAATAGCATACGTATAAAACAAAATATGGAAACACTGCTGAGAAAGTTCTAAATGTAATACAAGAAATAGAATAAAGAAAATAATAATTGGATGAACGGGCGAGCGTTAAAACCGTCGTCGTTTTTAATGTTGCAGAAACCACCGGAGGTGAAGTCGAACTGGAGGCGCAAGCACGAGGATTTCATTAACGCTATACGCTCGGCGAAGCAGGTGCAGGCGCACCTGGCTGCAGGAGGCAAGCTCAGCGATCTGCCTCCACCGCCTCCCAGCGATACCAGCGATTACATTCAATGTCCCCATTGTGGCAGAAAATTCAACAAGTCCGCCGCAGACCGTCACATTCCCAAATGCGAAAACATGTTGCACAATAAACCAGTACATTCGCGAGCGCCAAAACTCAAACGTTAATTATCAGGCGACAAAACCTCGTTGCGTACGTACATCGATCGAGAACAGGATAGATCGAACCGTCTTCATTTGAAAACACACAGCTTTACAAATTAAATAAATAAAAACAGAAATCTTGTTAACACGTTGACTGCTAGACTAATAAAAAGAAAAATTTCTACCGGGCTAAAATTTTGTTTCTATACTTTTGGAAACTAAATACATAATCTAACATTTATCTGGAATTTTTTTAATTTTATACTGGCAAGTCTTGTCACCTATACAGGGTGTCCCAAAAGTCGGGGAGGAGCCGGAAATGGAGGGTAGCTGAGACGATTCTGAACAACAATTTCCTTTGCAAAAATGTCGGATGAGGCTTCGTTAAGGAGATATTAAGCGAAAACCCCGACCAATCAGAGCGCGCGTATACCGCTCGAGCGGCCGCGATAGCGATGGCTACGCGCTAGGTAGCCGCTCTCGTACGCGACAAGTGACTCGACGTGCATCGAAGGATATTGAGCGGCCGCTCAGCGCGTAGCCTTCGCTACCGCGGCCGCTCGAACGGTCTACGCGCGCTCTGATTGGTCGGGGTTTTCTCTTAATATCTCCTATAACGAAGCCCCATCCGACATTTTTTCAAAGGAAATTTTTGTTCAGAATCGTCTCAGCTACCCCTCATTTCCGGCTCCTCCCCGACTTTTGGGACACCCTGTATACAGGTAAAAAAGTCGTCAACGTGTTAATCGTGATTTTCACAATTTTTGGTTTCGTCGTTCATACAATATCCTGCCTGCAATCGTGTAGCCATTTTATACGAATGTATTATCTACGTTGCAGACATCTTATACGATTTTTTACAGGATTTTCTATACTTGACCTACTACTTACATGACCAAGCGTACTTCATGGATCCCCGATACACGTAGAACCTCTAATAAAAGTGATGCGCGATCATTTATGGCCGTAGCTTCGTTCGAACTATACGAGTACTATACATACTATACTATACATACTATGCGTGTGTGAGCATGGAGTACATTTTGAGGTCACCTTGCAATAAAATACCACTTTTGTCTACACGTTGTACATACTGTACGTAGGGAAAGAAATTTTAATAAGATTGGTACATCACTTGTCCTAATAGTGCTTGCACGAACGAAGGAACCAAGGATAAAAGTTATCAGAATAAATTAAACACTTGGGACATGATTATTTATTCCTGTAAAAATAAAGTTCGCATACAACAACTGCTGATGTTTACAAAATTTAAAGACGTGCTAATTTTATAATGATCCGCAGAATATTTTGGACAATTTGGAATGTTAACTTTATACGTATTTATATTCTTTTATACTATAGCATTATAGGAAATGTTACACGAGTATTTGTAACTTTATAATCAATCCTCTCAAAACGTATAACCCTCTCATATTAATGATACGTGATTAGTAAAAATCGCTTGAAACACAAGAATTAATCATAAGAAATACCGCTTGATTGATGCTACAAGTATTGTGATTTATTTTGTAAGTTTCCGTCGAAACTGACCGTCTTATAGGAACGAACGTGCGTTTTTATAACGATTAGTGTTCTTAAAATACGAGAATGTTATAACACCACTGTTACGATGAAATATTGGGAGCTAATAAACTAACTTTTTATCGAAAAGAAAATAGAAATATCAACTGAATAATGAAGAATAAATATCCGGTTGATTACAAGCAATGTCTATAAAAAGTCTTTTATTACGCGCCCGAAAACTAAATCAACTAAAAATAGGATCTTTTAATACTGTACACTACAAGAAATTAATTTATTATTTTAATAGGATTATATAGATATCGGAAAGCCCCTCATTAGCCAATTTCTTTAAAATTTATTTGTATGCAATTCTTTATCATATAACATACAATAAGTTCAGATTAGAAACAGATACTTTTCTGAAAATAAAGTCTTAAAATATGTTTGGAAAATAATAATTCGATTCTATAGCAGAGTTATCGCGAAATGTTAGGAATTAGATTTACCTACCGAGGAATTCTAGTAAATTAATGCTATATGCTAGGGACTACTGGACTCGTAAATTTGGCAACGGAAATACATGCACGAACAGTCGCAATCCAACGCAGCAGACGACGTGGTATTCCCGGTGTGAGGAAGGAATATTTAAAAAGTTACATCTGTTCGTCGGCTTGTCATGATCAAGACAGAAAGTCTTACAATGTTTTTGAGCTCGACCCATGTATAGGAGGAAAGTATGGATCACTTAATTATCTTAATCGGTATGGTACATTTATTGTACTGTCCATTCACAAAAGTGGAAGAAAGTTTCAATCTGCAGGCTATGCACGACATCTTATACCATGGTTTTAACCTGACCGAGGTAATTATTATAGCAGTTACCGAAGGTACGTCGTGTAAATATAAACATTTAAGAATCAGACAGACGCAGATAGGTTACAATAGAGTATTTATCTTCCTCGAGAGGTTGCTGACACGCACTCGAACAGATATTACGCAAAAACTTAGATATTATATTTAGAAGCAGATGCATGTATTTATAAACTCACGATCAGCTGATATAGCTTCTGTTCGCTTAACAATTTGTTAACGCGTTAATCTTACTTTTGCCCTAAACGTGTGGTCGAGAAATTTGCATAATACGCACCAAAGGACTTTTCTAAATTATTTTGCATTAACAGTGTAATGCTCAATCTGATCTAAAAATGTAATCTAACACTCTCGAGGTATATGCATTAAAATGTTTGTAAAAGACGTTAAAGGTTTTATACTAATTGTTTGCAACATGTTCTTGTTCTGTGATAGTATGATCACCATGAATTTCCTGGAGTCGTGCCACGATCATTCGTGGGACCAATTATAATATCAGGCTTGGCATCGCCGCTAATAGCAACCATTAATTATTTGCGACTTAATAAATTCTTAGCTCAATATGTTGGTAAGTTGATTAATGAATGAAATGCATTTGTATTATTTTACACCTTTGCTTGATCTGTTATTAATTGTTAGGTTTGAATAAGGAAACAGTTTCTTAATCTCTAAGAACTTTGTATGATAACAAATAAGTAACTATTGTAATTTTTTCCAGTAAGAGCAATATTGGGTTTGTTGGTAATAAGTATGTTAAAGCTATACAGAGATGCTTTACAAAACATTTTTGGGTTGCAATTTACAAAATGGTTTGTTGCAATTACTGTAACACAATATCACTTCGTGTATTACTTGAGTCGTCCATTACCAAATATAATGGCTATGCCACTAGGTAATTGAAGTATGATATATGGTTTTTATTTTATTTGGAATATTTATGATCAAAGTACCGGTTTAGTAATGCTAATATATTTTAGTACTACTGGCTTTGTTTGGGTGGTTGAGACAAAATCACATCATATTTATTTGGTCATCTGCAGCAGCAATAATAATATTCAGAGCAGAACTTGCTATGCTACTGGGATTATTTCTTTTGTACGATATAGCCAACACGAAACTGACCATACCAAGGTATTTACATATTATATTGTGGACCATTGATTCCTAGTATGGCTGTAACATTGCAAACAGAAGTGATTAGAATCATCAAGGGACATTCTGCAAAACTGCACTGATTTGTAAGCTTCGTTTGCTTATAAAACTTACTAACATAATGAAACCCTTCTCTCAAAAATAACTACATCAAATGTAGATCCCTTATTTAATAAATGGCAACAAAATTTGTGCTACTATTAAAAGTAAAAAAAAAAGCAACTAAAAATATTAATTGTATAACGGGAAAAGTTTCATCCATTTAAATGTATTCAAGTCTTTTATTTTAACAATAATTTCATAAGAATAATAATTTTTAGACTACTTAAAATTGCGGTTCCAGCTGGTATATTTTTTCTAACACTAACGGTTGCAATAGACTCCATATTTTGGAAACGTTTAGTATGGCCTGAAGGAGAAGTATTTTATTTCAATGCTGTTCTTAATAAAAGCAGTAATTGGGGTGTATCCTTTATCAAACACTATAATTTTATCTAGTATTGTACAAGCTATTATTTTCAAATTTATTTAAGATGACAAACTTAAAGTATTTCTGCTGATCTTAACACAAAAACAGACATCACCGTTTTTGTGGTACTTTTATTCAGCGCTTCCACGTGGATTGGCATTTTCATATTTTTTAATACCCTTGGGTATGCTCTGGGATGCTCGAGTTCGAACGTTAACAGTTCCTGGTATCGCATTTGTTATCTTATTCTCATTTCTACCACATAAAGAATTGAGGTTTATCATATATGTTTTTCCATTACTGAATGTTAGTGCAGCAGTTGTTTGTCATAGAATGTAAGTACTTGGCTTGTTTATTTAATGTTTCAAGTTGTTTTTAAGTTTTAGTTCTTGATATCATAATTATATATAATTTTTTTATAAATAGATGGGAGAACAGAGCAAAAAGTTCATGGAATGGATTTATGGCACTGATCATTTTAAGTCATCTAGTTTTAAATGCTCTGTTTTCTATGTTTCTTTTATGTGTTGCTGGTTCTAACTATCCTGGTGGTTTAGCTATTGCCAAATTACACAGACTTGAGAAAGACTCTACTGATCCAGTGCACGTGCACATTGATGTTCTGACCGCACAGACGGGAGTTTCCAGATTCGCACAAACAAATGATTCTTGGATGTAAGTTATGTAATTAATGTTATAAAATAAAAAATCAATTAGTAATACAAAAGTAACAATAGATTATAGACATGTATTTCTGGTCATAAATAATCTAGTTTAATATCAACTATCTTCCAGTTATTCAAAACAAGAGAATTTAACCATTGATAATCCTGAAATGCTTAAATTCACGCATCTATTAATGGAAGCTAAAAGTAAATACTCACCGAATATAAAACCCTATCTTAAAACTCATGATATATTGGATTCTGTAGATGGTTTCTCTCACATAGCATTAAACTATAATATGTTACCTCCAATAAGAATAAAAACTAGACCTATTATATTTATTATGAAAAGAAAACCTAATATAAAATATGATCCAAGGAAAGCAGGAACACAAGCACACATGAAACGGTCAGTTCAAAGTGAGATACATAAAAGTACAGATGGTGAAGATGTAATAAATGATACTGTAAAAAATATGGAGCCAATATTAGGTGAAATTATGGAGTCATTAGAGGAATTTGAGAAACCATTAAATATTAGTAATAAAAACATATTGGATTTAGAAGTACACGAAGCAATCAAAATTAGCATACAAAATAATTCTGAGGAACACATTGAATCACTAAACGACGATATCGAACAAATATCCCGTAATCTATCTGAAAACAATTTATCGCATTTAGAAGCATCGGTTGACAAGGTAAAGGTACCAAATGTATCTGAGATAGAAAGCATCGTTAAAGCTGAAACAAATATTAAACTGCAGCCAAATATTGAAGATATTTCGTCCAATGACGAGAAAAGATTAGATGTAAAGAGCGAAGGAACTGAAAAAATAGAAATAAATAAAGAGAAATTAAAAATTATTAATAATCAGCAAGAAAGCAGCACTATTAAAGAAACTGTTAAAAAGCTGATTCAAGAAAAAATGGAGGCAGTTAAACTAAAAAAAGACTCAATAGATGAAAGAAAATTGTCAGAAGTTCCAGATAAAAGTAATATAGAGATAAAAAAAGCTTCGATAAAAGTATTGCAACAGAAGATGAAAACTGCAACAAAACAAGAATTAAAAGAAAAACCTACAACTCTGCAAGAAACAATTAAAGAGCATCGAGCTATTAAAGTGAGAGAAAACATTAGAAATATAATTAATCAATTTAGAGAATTTGAAAAAGACTTTGTACACGAAGATTCAGAAATAATTAAGAAGGAAACTGACTATAGTGAACAAGTTACAGGAGTAAGTACAAAAATGTCTGAAGATGCAGCAAATGTAGTAGATATTATGACGAAAAGTGAAGATTTAAAAACAATCAAAGATGCCAAAGAAAGTTTGAAAGATATAATAAATCAGTTTAAACAAATTAAAAATGAATTAGTTTCCGAAGAAGATGATCAATTTGATAAAATCGAAGCCACGTATATGGAGAAACCAATTTCGGAAACATTAATGCAATTTAGTGAAGCTTTGAAAAATTTAATACAACGTAGAAGAAAGAACAAAGCGTACATTACAAATAGTTTAGATAATAAAAAGAACTTAGACATTCAAAATTACGATAAAATTGGAAAGATAAATAATGTTGAAAAATTAGGAAAAATGAACGAAGATAGTAATATAAAAAATAATTTAAATTCAGGTACAAATAAAGTTATTCAAGAAAAATATTTTACAACGTATACAAATAATAAAAATGTCCCTTCAAATGCTCAAAAATCTGCCGATAATGTGTCAAATAACATAGAAAAAAATTATGCTTCCAAGGAAAGTGATGATGAGATAATACAAAAGAATGTTGAAAATAATACAAATAATTAAATGGTAGAAATAATTGACTGTTTTATGCTTTTTAATGACACAGTTCTGTAATTATAGTCACATGTAAATACGTTATTCTGTGATAACGAATATATTATATTTCTTAATTGATGCTCGTGCATTACCACCGCGGAAAAAACGAGACTAACTTATCCTGTTTTATTACTTAAAATAACAAAGAATACCGAAACAAAATGGGAAAGCATTTGTATAATGAATAGTATCACAAACGTGCCACAAATATAACTATATATGTATGCTGTTATATAATATTAATTTATATAACAATTATTTCACGTATTACAAAACTATAATAATAATTTTGTATATATTTAGATCATGAAATATTTATCTATATATTGTTTGATATAAAAGTAATATTTGACAATGCATGTTTAAAAAAAGTCTATACAATTTTATTATTCACCCTTGACTGTTACAGACTTGATAAGTTACTGTTCGATAATGGTCTTATTATTTCCTATTTACGTCCTTGCATTTAGATTCTGCTTTTCTATACTTTTTTTTTTTGTTTAGTTTTTAGTGACATCTAAAATGTCCTATATTACTCAAGATTAATCAGTCATTTATACTTTCTATCAGAAAAAGAAAATCCATTCAATTTCCATATTGGTATTTGCAGAGCATTCAAGTGCCTTAAAATCTCTTCCAAATTTTCATGTACTATAAGACGTCCGTTCAAAAAATATGTGTATGTAACGTACTATGTAATAATATTTTACAATAAGTAAAGGTATTTAATACAAAAGTACTGTAATTTAATTCCTGTATTATTGCTTAATCAATCAACAATCAAAAGCGTCAATTATCGATAACAAATTTGGCGAAAGAATATTATACGATTTTTCAATGCTCAATACTCGCCATCTCTATAGCATTTATATACGAATTTAAATGATTGAAATGAACTGTACATAGTTAATCCTAAAGTTAACCAATATAATACTTTATCGCGAAAACCACATTTTAAATATACAGGGCGTCCATCTTCACACTGTTCAAACAAACGAAACAATTATGCACAAACTACACGGTTAAGTTCATTTAATTTTGATTTAAATATATATCAAAATAACGTGTACCTGCATCTTTGCTTGTTTTAATTTCAATTTCTCAAATGCTTTATCAGAAATTAAGTTTGGACATCCCGTGTAAAATGATTGACGTAATAAAGCGATATTCTTATAAAAATGCTTCGATCGTTGAACCTATTAATTTTATAAATTACAATTATTTATGCACGATACTAGTCACATAATTGTTCGAGAGTCTCATCTGTTGTACTTCATAATTATCGTGGAAATAGAAATGCAAAATCTTGTCTATCTCGAAACAGAGATACATTGATATAGTCGACTCTTATAACGAACGAGCCATAAAAATTCATTTAAAAGTATAATTGTATAAATATTTACTCACAACCAGCATTTTCCAGCAACAGCGAGACTAAGAATTCGTAATTCTATTGGAAACGTCCTAATGTATTCAGGAAATTACAAGTTTTGAACGAAGAAAATTGAGAAGCGTTAGGACGTGATTGCTTTTATTTAAATTCGCCCGGACTCAGTATATCCCGGATTGCGGTGGTGGGGCGACCTCTTTCGCGTCGTGAAGTTGGCGAAACTGATGCGCAGTTTACCTAAGTGGTGGGACAGGAAACGCATGCGTACTCGTTTCGCGACGCAACAGTCGTAAACAACATTTTTTCCAATCAGATTCGTTACGAGTTTACGCTTGCACGTTAAGTAGAGCGTCCTGGCGGGCGCACCACAATTTTTCCGCGTTTTCGTACGATTTCGCGGAAAAAATGGGGCTGAGCTCGCTCACTCAGTGTACGTGATACGTAAACTTATGGGTTTCTGGCATGCGGTGACGTCATCCGGATCGTTCTGGAAGAACCCTGCAGGACAATAATGGCGGGTATGTATTTACCTCGACCGTGAGAATATAGACCTCGACTCGTGCGAACATTCATCGTTATACTAATGTGCTGCGACTCTCCAATTTCAGATTTGTATGCTAAATACAACTGCACCTATTGTCAAGAGGACATCACGGGTTTACGTGTAAGATGCGTCGAATGCCCGGATTTCGACCTCTGTTTGCAGGTGAGTCGAGTGAACGCCTGTTTCTCGGTCACGTGTCCGCGTCTCTTCCCCCCTCCTCGTTCTCCACCTCTTTCTCTAGCACGTCTTCGTCTATCCTTCCGGGTTTGCTGGATTTTGCGTGCTGAGATTCCTTTTTCATTCCCCACCCCTGCCAGTTTTTTTTTTTTTTGTCGACAAGTTATTCTGCAACTACTCTACTACTTCCACGCGACTTGAATGAAACTGCTGATCATATGGAAACACGTGCATACGTACAGTGACGAACAAAAGTATTGGCATAGCCATTGATTTCTTGTAAAATTGCTTGTAAATCCAGACAAAATTAAATTATTCGTTTAATTTTCTTCAGAAAATATTAGAGTAATGGTCGACATCCTTTTTTAATTTTTAGTTATATTTTGTAAACATTATATTGGTATTTTTAACGTATTAGTAAAATTGAAGTTATTTATGAAAATAGAAATGTGAAGGAAGTAAAACGTTAATTCTTACCAGAACAAAGATATATTTCTCAATAAAAATTATTAACGACGACCAACATTACATGTTATAATAAGATGATTACTCTTTGATGTTTCCAAGCTACAACATAGTATTTGAAAAATTATTTACAATTAAATATTAACTGAATTACTATTATTATATTAATTTATGAAACAGTCTATGTAAATTTTACATGCTTTCCATATTTATTGTATATACTATAAGTTTGTCATGATCTATAAAAGAAGAGTATCACTGAACACTTGATGAGTCAGTTAGTATGGCATCATGAGTCATATGTTTCTATGAGATAAAAGTAGTACAATGTACATTTCAAACTACTTTTATCAGAACAAAAGTACCAGTACAGATTTATAGTAATTCTATTTTTTTCCTGATTTCTGTATAATTTTATGAGAATCCTCTGGCTGTATCAATTTTGTTTGTTAGTGTACACTAATGTCATTGGCCCTGTACAAAACGTGATTCTTATCAAAAAAATATTTTCTAATAAAGGAAATATTTTAGTATTTTCAAATGTTGACAGTGTTTTTCTGCTGGTGCTGAAATTGGTCCACACAGAAATGATCACTCTTATCAGTTTATGGTGAGTAAATAACATAATATTTGTAATTTTACGAAATAGTCTCTTTGATAAAAAGAATAATCAACCTTTGGGTTTACAGGATTCTGGTACCATTAGTATATTTAATGGTAGAGGAAATTGGACTGCTAGAGAACAACTTAGACTCTTGGATGCCATTGAACAATTTGGTTATGGTAACTGGGAAGATATTAGCAAACATATTGAAACACGTACGCCAGAAGGTATAACTTCGTAAATTCTTCATTCTTTCAATTAGAATTGGATGATTTTATTGTAAAATTATATACATGATTTATTTCCTGCTTACAGAAGCAAAAGAAGAATACATTGCCAGATACCTTGATGGCAATATCGGTAAACATACATGGCCACCAACAGACAGCTACAAACCAAATCTTACGGATCAAACTAAGTCGGATCATGGACCTCTATCGCCAGATCTCACATCTCGGTTACCACCGCTGGATATTACGCCAGAGGAAGCCGCACAACTGGGTTATATGCCGCAACGAGATGATTTTGAAAGAGTAAGTTGGAATAAATATTCTTCATGCATATCATTAGCCTATCGGCTTTAGACAATCCAATCTTATATTTTTTTAAATGACAGGATTACAACCATGAAGCAGAGTCGCTCGTGTCTTCGTTATTCCTGAATCCAGCAGAGGATGATGACTTAGACATAGCTCTTAAACTTGCACAGGTTGATATGTATACCAACAATTTAAGGGAGAGAGCGCGACGAAAAAGAGTAGTGCGTGATTATCAACTAGTGTCAGCATTCTTTGCATCATCCAGGAAAGACAAGACATTGAAGAGGAAGCAAACAAAGGAGGAAAGGTATACTGTAATGTTATTTACCGAAGGAAATATTTTACTTTCTTACAGTATACTAATAAAAACTTGTATTGTTTGCAGAGAATTTAGGGACAGAATGCGAGCATTCGCACAGTTTTACACAGCACAGGAGTACGAGCAGTTTTTAACAAACCTCGAGAGGGAAAGAGAGCTGCGGTTACGTCTTACTGAATTATATCGTTATCGGGAACATGGCATTTCAAGGCATGAAGAATGCGCTCACTTTGAGCAAGTGATAGCTCAAACTCAGGGACAAAATGACGCTGCTGACCATTGGAACGAAAAAAAATCTGTAAGTATTCACTTCCATTCGTCTAATAATTTTGTCTACAACGCAATGGCAATTAGAATTTTTTTTTTGAAATATATGTCATACATCATTTCATAATAGTAGATACAACTACTCGAATTTGGAAATGCTTTAGAAATTTGCATTCGTAAAAGCTAGTAAGGCTCTTAGATTGTTATTATTTTTAAAGATATTTATCTTTGTAATTAGGCAGCTACAATATTAAAAATATCTTGTGCAAAAGTGGAAATTGATAAGTAATACTTCTATGATGTTAAGATATAAATACAGTAAAACCTCGATTTAACCGACAGAATTCGATGATCCTATGCCAGTACATTCCCAAATTACATGTATCAGTTGGTTTACCATTAGGCTACTTTAAAAATGGGTGGATAATTTCTTAACCCTTTCAGTACGGTAGTCCACTCCGCCAGAGTACCGCTATTGAACGGAAGCGTAAGGATTGTGTCACCTTAACCTACCACCTCCTCTGAAAGTGATGTCATTATCTTGTCAATATATATTCAAATAATATTAATGATACATATTACAAAAAAAATGTGAATGATTTTATTTTTATATATATTTGTATGCCTAACAAGTGCAAAAGTTTAATGCATTTAATAAGATTTGGCCTCATACTTTTGATTGGTAGTGCAACTAAATGTATAATTTTGATTGTTAAAACGAATTGTATTATCCTTAAGTAGTAAATTTGCAATGCAAATGACTTATGATATCGTTCGACATCTCTTCCGTCTAGTCAATCCACTAAATCGAGGTTTTACTGTAATAATATTTAAATTTTGTAGTGTGTGTTTATTTTTTGCAATTACTACGTTTTGCTCCTTAATTTGTACATTGGCCATTTTTTTTTGCAATTTTTAATATTCTTCAGAGATTTACGTACATGGCGCAGCACTTAAAACAGGTTATCTTAATAACTGATTTGATTCGATAATAGACAAAAATTCTCCAAACAGTTGTTTGTTTTTAAAAGAAATGAGTTATTTGAGTAACTTGTCTTAAATGTTTCGCCCTATACGACGAGCATCGGTCACCGATGCTTGTATTTTATTTTTGATGAGTTTCATTGCAAATGCAAAATAAAATTTGATAATATCAGTAACGCAATATATTTGTATTGTCGAGCAAGAATTGGTTTCTTGGACCAGTGCCTTATTAGTTATACCGTATGCACTAGCTTTTACTTGTCCATTAACTAATTCCATTGTTTGTGGTGCGTGTTGCCAGGCATTTGTGAACAGATTGTATCAGTTTGCATTTCACTTAGGGCAGCAGTGGGCCGTCCACACCAATACACCGCCACACCTCAAAAAAAAGGTACAAGAGTATTTTAAAAATTAAATGCATTAATCTTTTCATTTCGCAGAGATAGAGAAAGAGAGAGAGAGAGAGAGAGAGGAGAGAGAGAGAGAGAGAGAGAGAGAGAGAGAGAGAGAGAGAGAGAGAGAGAGAGAGAGAGAGAGAGAGAGAGAATCAGAAAATCAGATAATCACTAATCGATACTACGATCCAGACGATTTAGACGGTAAAATATTTCGTTTCTACTTTTCAGAGAAGAAGAAAAAAGTTACTCTTCAATCGACCGAAAGTACACTGCAAAAGACTTGCCCAGCAGCAGCTCCTCAATCAGTCAAACCAATCCCAATCGGACGACGACTCCAGCCAATCAGTGGGCGGAGCCGGATAACAATCTGAATTCTTCCAGCCAACATTCTACCAGCTCCAGTTCTACTGTAGAAAAGAATTGTACTGCGACAACTTCCGGAAAATCTTGTTCAGCAGCAGGAGACTTAGGGGACCGAGACATAGAATTGGAAACTGCGGCTCATTTGTTAACAAAGCAAGAAAAATCCTTGTGTCTCCAACTTGATCTGAAGCCAACGCAGTATTTAACGCAAAAAACGTTGTTGTTGCAAGTAAGTTTTTTTCGTGAATAGCGTTTTATATTTCATTGTTTACAGAAGGGTGATTCAAAAAGTATTGAATGTATCGGAATTCTTAAATTTCTGCAAACAAATTTTTACAAATTTTTCAGAGTTTTTGGCTTCTAGCAGTTCTTTTAACAAAAGTTATCCTCGCTTTGTCTCTGTGATCAGGTACTTTAGGAACATGATCTTCATTTTTTCAGGATTGATTCGCTTCCTATCCTTACATATTCCTACCTTTTTTGATCAGTGTCATCCAATATCAATATCTATACATCCTCAAGTGAAGAATCATTTCTTAGCACCTACCTATGAGTGTCCGTGATTTATGTGAAGACTGCATTTGGAAAGTGTTCAATCCTTTTTGAATCGTTCTGGATTGTTCTTATTTCTTCGCGCGTAGTCTCTATACGCGTAAATTATGTGGTTACAGGAGTATCTAAATGGTAATAGGAGATCTGGCGTTGTACCTCAGTCGGAACCAGAGAGTAAAATACTACATTATCTGGTAGCAAATGGCTGGATCGCGGCCAACTGATAAAATATGTAAAAAATTAATGACCATTTCAACTCTAAGTCACCTTCTATCTTGCAAACTAAGTCTTAGATATAATTGAAATTCGAGTCTGATTTAATTAACATATAGAGCAGGTAGAGAGAGAATGTGCGTGCGTGTATAATTTAACATGTATAGATTATCGATTCTTTATTGCAATTCTTCTATTAAATTGTTAAATAACGAGCATTGAAGTGGTCGAAGTGGATGGTAAATTGTTACAAATATTTAAAATATTTAGTATTTTCAACTATTCTACAAAATCGTATTCGTAATTTTGTTATCAGTAACAAAATATAGATTATCATCCTAACAGTGATCACGGTAGCTGTATCGATGTAAAAAGTTTTCAAATTTAACCTGATCGTAATTTGTAACAATTTCATCGCCAGTTGTCGATACTACTAATTGCTTTTCCAGAATACAGGTATTAAATCATCGTTATCGTTTACATAAAAAACGATAACATGAACTAAAATCGATTGTTTAGTTCAAACGAGCATCGTTGTCCTAGGTTTCGTTTATCTTTTAGTGTATAATTAGGAATTATTTAACACTGTTCAAGAAAATCGCATACACTGCCTTTATAGAGCCATTGAAAGTATTGCTCAATTAATTCTTTCACTGTAATATTTTCTTGTACAGACTACTAGGTGCACATACTCCTTTCTATCTGTTTTGAATGTGATTTGTTACCATACTTGACAATAAGGAAATGTAAGGATGTTGCATTAATCCAGGTTAGGTTGTTTAGTTTATTACATCGAGAAATCGATTGAAACATATCTTCCCGGAAACGTTATCAATTGACATTTCATCTAACAGTGTTCGAATGCTACTGGTTGGGCATGTATCGAAATATATTTAATTCAAAAACACAGCACCGTAATATATTTATACACGTTAGATTCATGATAGTATTGAATATTAATTTAACGATAGCTTAATGACCATAATGAAAGAAAAACCATGCAGAAACATAGGTAGTTCTTAATGTTCCGTTCAAATGAGTCGATTTAAAACGGTTCTTAGTACTCACGAAATATGCGTGATTCACACGCAAACCAACGTATTTTATTCTGCAATCGTCGAATTTCTTTAAACGACACAAAAGATTCCTTATTGATAAGGGATGGTACAAAAAACAGATCATAAGGACATTTGTTATCACCATGAAATATATGATATTAGGTAATTTATTTGTTGCCTGTGTAATATTTGTATATATGATGAAAAATAGTACCTTTCTAGTGATACTACTACTTCTAAAGCACAAATTATGGTGGTAACCTAATGAAGCGTTAAAAAGCATATAGCGTGATAATGATGGTGTTCTAAGCCAAACTCATATTGCAGAAAAGACATAAGAACTTAAGACATTTTAACGTTTTAAAAAAAGCAATTATTTTCAGTTGCTTACAATACTAGCAGTAAAAATCATAGATTCTAATTAATCGAAATGACGAAAATATTTGTGCCGTAATAAGTGTGCACGTTGTTGCATCTTTGGGAGAAGATACACTTTGATGCATGCTTCGACGGCTTTACATAAAACACATTTATAGCTTTTATTTACCATAAATTGGTCGCATGTTTTTATATATCTCGCCATTCTGGCACGCTTGAAAAATTAAAAGAAAAAAAAATATCTAACAAGATTACTCGTTTGCTTCTAAAGTAATTTTGTCTTTCTCCGAATTTTCGCGCTTATCGATATTTGAACGCTAGTTCAAACGGCAAACGAAAAATCATTGTTAGCTTGTATCATTGTATGGATGTAAAAAAAAGTAAAAAAAAAAAAGCTATATCTATGTAAATACATGAAAAAAGGAAGTTACGCGCGATCGAGTAACTATACAAAATCTTGTATGTATAAAAAAAAAAAAAGAAAGAAGAGTCTAAAGTATCTTCCGTTGAAAACAATACTTATTATGGCGTATTGCTTAAATAGCTAAGTGATGAGATAGGGAAATAGCTGCTCATATTTTTTACGGAGAGTAGAAGACTATTCCCTTTTATTCGGTGTAAACTATTTTCTGCGAACTTGTGTGAACAGCGAATCGTTTATAAATAGGCGTAAATAATTTTTGTAATAGACTCGCACTCATTTCTTATAAACATTTTTTATTTCCTTTTTTTTTTTTTTTTTTTTTCATTTCCGTCGGTTGGACGACTCGAAAGTCGACCAATGGAAGTTGAGATTCTTAAGGGGCTCGAATTGTAGCGATGCCAAATTTAATTTTATCTTCGTTTTGTCGTACTACTAAGTTCGCAGTCTTTTTTTAAGCCACTTGTGTCGTCCGCTTACCACGCTTAAAGACAAAGACTTTAAGTTCGTTTAACTTTTACGTTCTGCGCTGCGAAACCATACGCAGATCAACTAGCCTGTCGTTTGACTGGAATATTTGTATAAGAGATGGGTCCACTACGCGTAGGCTGTTCAGCCGACCAAACACGGGATGTCTTGTAACTCGCGTACCGATAAACAAGGTCATACCTAGCCTAATGAAAAGGAGAGCCGAACAATTTCTGTAAAGGTTGTTCTGTGTGATGTTACGTAAATGAAAAAATATTGAGTTTCGAGATACGTCGAGTACGCATGCTTGATATTCGATTAAACGGATCATTGTCTTTCGTTCATTCTGCATTCATGAGCGTAGGTGAACCCATAAAATTCGAGTTCTTGTACTACATTTATTTACAATGTTTTATATTTATTTATGGCAGGGTGAGGCACAAGCAAACACTCCAAAAAAAAAAATATTATTAATACGATTACGTGCCTTACGGGCTCGAATGTTCTTGACACATTCTCGAACCGTGTAAATACACATGTTTTCTTCCATCCATCACGGTTACGATTGTCAACCTTCGTCTTTTGTCCATTTACCTCAATAATTTCACCCGAAGCGTCGTCGAGTTCCCTATCCAAAGTAGCTTCGTCCCGTGTTATTATACTACAAGGTGGACCATTTAAATGGCAACACCTAACAGCGTTACTTATAGGCATACGAAGATTGTCCAAGGACGAAATTAAACTGTTGGAAGGGTCAAACGTAATGATAGAAGATTTCCTTCATTATTTCTTCGGAATTTTGTCGTCATTGCTATCCGTACATAGAGACGGGCAACATTTGCTGTTTGATTGAACAGTTAAATTTTTGTTTGTTCACTGTGATACACATCATTCTATGATTCATATTTTTACTTTTATTTCTTATTCGACGTGTTTATCTAGAATCTAGAATCTAGATCTAGATTGAAATTTCGCCCATCCTGTACAATTTCTCAACTTTGCGGTACTAGTCTCTCGAGTTAATGTCTTTAGAGTGGAGTTATGTATGGAATTCAGATCAATGTGTCACTCTTGTTACGTTTAGCCATCATACCATATTTGAGTAATGCTTTAGATTTTTCATTTGAATTCTTTAAATATCCACTTTGTTCTATTCCATTTATGGACTGTATCAACTGTACGAGCTGTTTTTTACAGGAAAGATTGTATCTAGTACGATTAAGAAAACTATTTTGTTTTCTTAAACATGTTTCTTGTCGACTCTTCTGATTCTTACGGTATCAGAGCTAATAATTGTTCTCGTGTTAGGGAGTTTACCTTAACCCATTTTCAGGTAAGTTGAAATATTCGCAGTCAACGGCTGACGTTGAATTCAAAGACATGCTTCGCTAAACTGTTTCCATTTTTTGAAATCATGGTTGTAAACATAGATGAGCAAAAGTCTTATTCGGATAAAAATTTCGAATAACGAAAACAGAATTAACAACAAATTCTTGATGTTTCGTTTATATAATAAAAATTATAATTTGAATTCTAAGAGAACGATTCTTTAATGGAATGAACGTAGCAAATAAATTGTTGTTATTCTAATAAAATTTTGTCGTCTGTAGAAATGAACATAGATAACGAAGATAGTTCGTACAAGTGGAGCTTTTTTTTTATTGGATTCGTTACTTCCATAATTTGCAGAAATTTTTAATTCGCACGCGCAATGATCGAAGTTCTACTATTGTATTCTCTTCTTCGAGGGCGTACAAGAATTTTTCCATGAACTGTACAGAATTTTTTATTATGTTCAAAATGATAACGCGCAGTCGTTGAATTTTGTATTCGAATGTTTTTTTTTTTTTCCTTATATAAATTAGGATACTTGATGTGAATCATGAAGATGTCGGTTTTTATACCGAAACCTGCTTCGTTCTCATGTGTGACAAACGCAGGCGTACTCGACGGATTCGTATCTCAAGATTTTTTTAAAAACGATGCCATGTGTATAACAATTTTATGTTACAGATTCGAGGATGATGATTTTGTTGTTTAAAACAAACTATTATTTATTTTAGGTCTGCAGTGTCCTTTCTGCCATCTTCTAAATTAATAGATAAATTAATGTGATTGATCTCTTCTAAGCAAAAAAAAAAAAAAAAAGAAAAAGCAGAAAAGATTTTTCGACTACGTACACAAAATTTAAAAAACAAATATTAAATGATAAATATTCTTTTTGCTTGAGAGGTACGATCATTCTAAAATAAAAGATCGAAACATAAATTAAATAATAGCTTGTTTCAAGACCGACGAGTTATAATTCTTTCGTTTGTAAACGTACAAACTTGTCTACCGATACTTGTTAGTTTACGTTGTCGGCGTATATTTGATTAGAAATCATTTGACGCCCTGTGTAGACGAGGTTACCTCAAACAAAGAAGTGATCAGCATGCCTTCCTGTAACTACCGAAAACAATAATATATAAATTTGTGAAGAAAAAAAGAAAAAAAAATAATAAATGCTGATAGAAAGAATCGCAGCAGACGAACCAAGCACTGCATTTTAACTTTTATAAAGTTTAGTAAATGTCATCCGCACTGATATTTTCCGTTGCGTACGAAAACGATGGAGAACGAAAAGAGTCTTACGTTCGTGGAACGGTAAAAGAGTGACTGTGATCGGAAAATTTGAATCGTTTCGAAATCGATGTGACGTTATTTTGAGAAATCCGTGTGACGCGAAACGCGTCCGTTAACGCCTCGTTGGTTTAGGAATTTTTTCAAGAACTAATATTTCGATGCGAGAAATGCTTTCAATCTTGTACTCGAATCAAACGGTCGTTAAATGTATAAAATAAACTGTACAATAGGTATTTTCCCTTAAAAAGGCGCCTGTTATTTATTTCAATACGTAGAAGCAGTGAAATGTAACTTGTCCTTTTTTTCCCCCGATTTCAGGAAGTTTGCTTAGTTGGTATCCGTAAAAGCCGTAAGTAAACGTACGAAGAAAAAGAGAAGTATACGTTTCTGACGGTATCATGCAAACGTATGTCAAATATTTTACGTAATAACTATTACAGTTCGTTTCTTAAATATACCAGTCAATTTGAAACAAAGAATGAAACTCGGAAACTTAGCAGTTAAAATGAGATTTCTGAGATAATGGCGATCGTTTTTTCATGACATGTGGATTATAGATTAAGCGGAAGTATCGGGATAAGTGGTGCATACACGACTGACGAGTCAACACGGAAGTATCATATTGCATTAGTCCCGATACTTCCGTCTTCAGATACAAGCCATTGACGTAAAATCTAAACGCCGCGACAACATGGTCTCCGCTTCTGGTTTTGTTTATTTCATGTATGACTCGATTCTCAATAAGAACTTTTCCCATCTATTAACCACAAGCTCGTTTCAGGAATAATTCGTCGTGCCGAGGGAGTACATTCCTTGTAAAATCGCATATTTTTCCAGGTATCCGTATCTTCTCCGAATTAATAACTATTAGACTGCGGATATTTATGCAAATTCGTATTTTCTGTTTTATCGATTTTTGCATTTGTCCAAATTCTCATCAATTTGCCCAATATTTTTATAACGTTCATTTGCCATAAATGCACAAGCAACCGCAATCCAGTAATTGTAGCGTGTGTCGAACAGTAGAATAAATTAATATTGGTCAAGTCTCTTCATTTCAACATTAATCATTTTAGCATTACCATATATTTTCTTGTAACTAATTGCTTCTTAATGACATTGATATTTAGCGTGCGATACGATCATCTGATTCTTCGTCATTAATCAATAGTATGAGTAAACTATGTAAGCATGGAGCTCTAGTTTTTCCAATGGATAACTGCATCGCTAATTATTTCGACGCATTCCCTCGTCACGAGAATTACTATCCATTCTAGTTAATCATCTTACCATAGTACCATGCAGCAATTATATCAAATTATGTGATGCATCATTTTTATACTGGAGTTACAATCTTCCAAAACTTTCAAAATAGTTTGTTTATGTTCGGTGTCGGTGGACGAACCCACAAGATATCGGAAAATTGGAGAAAAATCGAAATCAAAAATGTACTCACCCTTTGTATCCATCAGGTTTGTTCGCGCCGTGATCAGATCATGAATCTTATACGATATTCGAACGGTTTTTGCAACGACTATCGCGAGAACCAATTTTCAACGAATGACGCACGATGTTGCGAGCAAAGTTAAAGAACATTTTACAAGTAAAATTTACCTACATATTCAACAATTCCATCTACATTGCAATCGAACGAATGCGAGTAACGTGGCACGCCATCACTCGTTAACGTTTCATGAATCAACCGCGTATAACGACTCCGTCACTTTTTTTTTTTTTTCTTTCTTTTATTTTTTACTCTTAAACGACGTCCTTCGTTGTTCGAATAACGCGTACGTACTTTTCTCATCGCTTTTTTCAATTCCACCGATTACGATTATACAATATGTGTCACTGTAATTGCATCCTCCGCGCGTTGAAATCTCCGCTAGACTGAAACGCTACTTATATTTATTTCGAAGGCTCAGCCATTATGACAACTCGCAAAACGGATGCAAGTAACGCTTAACATACTTTCGCGGGCTAATTAGTTTTTTAACGTACAGGAGGCATCGTCGATAGCCTTATTTTGAAAGGTTTTGCGAATAGATCTCTAGCATTTTTTTTTTATTTTTTTTTTATTTAATACTTTTTATTTAATAATCAACTACTTCCAAAAGGTTGCTCCTACCTATAATGCAGATTTGTGAATCATAAAAATGATACAAATTATACATTATGATTGGTTTTTTTTTTAGGTCTCCATTTAATGGAAATCTCAATGCACGCACGGTGTAATTGCAGTGACATTTACAGAATCGTAATACTTAGTGACTCGGTGTTGTACGATTCCACAATGGCTAAAAACATGAATAATTGTTTTCACAAGAGCCTGAAATATAGCGTAACTGAAAAACAAGTGTTAAGAATTCATTTCGAAGTTCATCCAAGTTTATCTCTGTCGTTTTAATTCGTATATTTTGCAGGCCGTGGAAAAGACACTCCGAAAATACTATTATTGCAGTTATATAAGCACACGCGAGGATATAAGATTCGCTAATTTCGAAACTTGACGATTAATGTCAAGGATACGGTAGTTTCAGTGCTTTTAAGATGCTTGGAGCATGATGTTGATGTAAGCCATTCGATTTAGTTTTTATAGAAGTTTATTTATAATTTATATACATTGTCGTGTCGAGGTAACGTTGCTTATCTAGAAAACGTTTGAATTCAAATGTATACCACAAAAAAAGCTTTCGTGTTGTATTTTATACAAATTTTTTGCAGGTGCGATCAACAGGAAATTTCTTTGACAACGATCTACAACAGACAGTTACTTTCAAATATTTCCACTACACGTGCTGTATGCTTTAAGAAATATTTATTGTATATATATATCGAAAACATTAAACTCGTTCCACTCATGAATATGTAATTATTAAGGAAAAATATAAAGCAAAAACTTTCCTTAAACCTTGATCCCGTAATAGTCATAAGTTGACCTCAGTGTAACGCAGTGATATATTTTTAATTTGTCACTGGGTTTTAATTTTCCACTTGTTATTTTCAATACATTCAGAGACACTAAATCACACCTTACTACTAATACCTAGCTACTCAATTAAATTGATGAATCATTTTAAACTGTTACAATTCTCATTGGATGAAATTTTCTTAGTTGGAATTATATTTATGCTTATTAAAATTACATTAAAATTTCGTCTAATCTGTCCTATGAAAATGTATATATTATTTATTCATTATTTTTCAAATTTTTTCCCTTCTTTTATTTCAATATTATGTGATTATTATTACATACGTACGTAATATTCAATGCGTTCGTGCGATATAGCCTGCAAATATTCTGAGGTATATGTGAGACTTTCTGTAAACAAATTTTTTACTCACACGTAATTACTGAAATCAATTACAGGCATGAGTCGGTCGATATTAGAGTATTTCTGACATGATTAATCATGGGAGGACAAAAAGTGTTGCTTCCAATTACCGTAAAAAAAAAACAATTAACATTTCTGTTATCACCTAATAAATACTACTGTGTATCACTACGTATATACTACTGTGTAATAGTTTAACTAACTGACCATAACGACGAAAAAGATACATACGATTCTTCGCAAATAAAAGTGAAAGTAGAAGTAAAAGTAAAAACGATTACGCATCAAATATATCATGTTTGAAAATGCAAAGAACATCATTTTATTCAAGTATACACGATTTTCTCCATAAGAGAAGATTAGCACACGTAACAAGTAGTTTTACACTTGAGCAACTATTCATTAGAATTACCACATTTCTTCGACTAAACATTCGCTTTAGATATTTGCATATTACATTATCGAAAGATGAATTGTTTCGTTAGTCGATCCTCGATCCAATGATTTGTGTTTGAATGTCTTTTGAAACAATCTCATGAATAAATTCAAGTTCCCCTGGCTTGCGTCATTATGGTTATCCCCGAACATTTTCGAAATACATAGAAACAAACCTGTCAACAAGTGCTGTTAAACTCTAACTTACAAACGTTTCTCTGTATTTTGCTTTCCATTTACAACTGAATATTATCATCTTGTGTGGACCATGTAATTGACGTACAAAATTGTGTTGAAATAATTATTTTTGGCAGTAACAAAAGAATAAATACACAATCATTCGTTACATGATCTTTTTCAACTATTCAACTATCAGCAGCACAAAACATGTGTAATTTATATGAAATTACATATGTCAGTTTACACTTGGAAAAAATGCATGGAAAATTTATTTAAAGTTGCTTGCAAGGCCCAATTTGAATGTATATTAAAAATCCAGATAGAGAAAATGACTATTAGTTCGATAAATCGAATAAATATTCCCGTATAAATTCAGATTCTTGAAATGTTAGCTTATTTTTAAAAGGGCTCTGTCATAAATTTTAAAACTCCAGCCTCGGAATTGCTGATCACGTCACTGGTCTGCCGTTGTTTTCTGTCTCAGAAATTGACACGGCATCGGTTAAAAAGGAATGCAGCAAAATGTAAAAAATTAAAGCTGTTTGATAGGACAAGACGGAGAAGGAAAAACGCATAGTATAGTCCTGGAGATTTCCTTCTGAGTTTGGGTTCGTTCGATGCAAATAAAAATGAAGTATATGCAAATTAATATCTGCAATCTGTCCTAGTAACCACGTTCGCACCAAATCGAATTTTTCAGATTAAAATATGAATTTTAATTGAACCGTTTGGTATTAGGTTTCTCGTAATTTATCTTCGAAATCCTTGAACTGATGTTATTTCATTTTCAGATGATTCGAAATGCAAACGTCAAACGTATCCACCAGAGGCCAGAGAAATGGTTCAGAATTCAGCGATTAACGATATTTTTACGTAAGTATTTTCATTTCCTCGATATGTACATGAATTTTTTATTGGTATCGATTACAGATATTTCATTTATTTCTGCAGAGAACCCGAGGTACAGTTTAAACGTAAACTAGTAACGAACACCGCGGATATATTCGAGAATATTTGAATTACTATTTAAATTGAACTGATATTTATTAAATTACGATAGCAACAAAATCAGGAACTGATCGGAGATCGGTCGTGTGGAACACAAGTGGAAACATATTCTTCGTTTACCTAGAAGTTATTAAGACAGCAAACGTATGTACGAATAATATAAAATAGCAAAGATATCGAGTAATTACGTATCTTTCGTTCGAAAGTCACTAAACATCGGATTTTTTTGGGAATGTTTATCGAAAGGAACGATTGTATTCCACGGTAATCGCATCAACGTCGATCTTGCGCGATCAGAAGCGTCTTGAAGAGACCTCGTCGCACACCAGGAAGAAGGAAAATGGCGTTAAAATGCGCGTCGTATCGCGTCGAGCAAACAGATCGAATATTTTCCACGAAATTCCAACAAAACAAAGCTAAAGAACAAATTTCCAGGTGGGGTTCCGCCGTAGTTGTTCCCACCTTCGGCCACCTTGGTCTCTACCACCTCGATTGATCCTACCACCGGAGACTGAGCATATATAAGTGCCGTCAGCCAGGACATCTTTAGAATCGCATCTAATCGCAGCTAATACGTTCAGGTGAGTGAGTGTCGCACGTCTCCGAGTGTCCGTTCTCTCGCGAAAATAATTGTTCCTTGCGAGCTGTTCAAAAATAGAGTCGAAACTTGTAATGAAATTCAACTATGACGAACGCAGTGGAGTATTTGTTTTTGAAAAGTGGTTAAAAGTCGTTGAAAGAAGCACAGTTTGATTTTTAATTTACAAACGAAACTTATGGTATTAATACGTCGTACGAAGACCCTTTTGAAATCTTCCCTTGGATCAGTTTCTAATCCAGCATTCCGAATCAAACCTTTCGTTCTCTCGCGTGTCGCCTATTGTTTCACCGATCGATTTATATTTCTTTTCTTTTTGCATATTTTGTTTAATCGAGAAGGTAGGAACTGTACAAATTGCAGAAATATTCTCGTGCTTCTAAGCATTAGCATTCCGGAAAGCAGACGAATTCGCACGTGCTTGCTAATAATTCCGTTAAATAATTACGTCACTGGATCTTCTCTATAATTAGACATTCTGTAAAACTATGTTTGAAACAATTTCGGCCGAATCTTGAAAACAAACACTCCCATTCCGCGGCGATGAATTGCGTCGCAAGCTAATTTCTCCTTCGAACTGGGACTCTTGATTGCCTTGAGGTGTCAACTTGACGTTCTCCATTCGATAGATACGATGTCGGTTGTTCTGTCGTGATTGTCACTTGGCCGCAGAGGCTTCGAAGAAATCCAACTTGCAGTTTACTGGTGAACCAATCGAATGCCACTGTTCTAATTCAAATTTCTCTCTCGGCGCAGCCATGAAATTCGCAGCGTTCTGTTTGCTCGCCTTCGTGGCGATCGCTTATGCCCAATCCGACGAGAAGAAATACACGAACAAGTTCGACAACATCAACGTGGACCAAATTCTGAACAGCGACCGACTCTTGACCAACTATTTCAAATGTTTGATGGACGAAGGAAAATGCACGCCTGACGGCTCCGAACTCAAACGTGAGTAGAACACGCCGTTTTGAACGTTGGTTCTCAGTGGACATTTATGCCGAGGATATACAAAATATATCCATTTATGTCGAATTCAAAATTAATGTATAAATTTATGAAGCAAAATATATTTTCGGTATGTTTTCCACATCAGCATATTTTATAAATTCATGAAATTTATAGCGTGCTTACAACATACGCGATTTAAGATATTGAGAGTCATTGGTGTTATTTTTTGCGTGTAATGTAAGGTACAAATAATTAAGAAAGATTCAATTCAATAATGACGGTAGTACCTGATAGCGTATTACTGATTTTATTACTGTAGCAGAATGAAATTGTTTTGATATTGTCCAATACCTACGTTGATACTTGTACATAAGGAAACGAATTGAATGAAGTTTTAAAAATACAGCATCGAAGTCACCGGAGTTAACTTCGTTCTTTTCTTTCTTCTTACGTCATTTATTATTTTTACTTAAGTTCCCGCATGAACTCAAGCTTGACTTCTACAAGTCGAAAGCGAATGAAATCAAATCAGAATAGTTCGAATATAGATCCGAACAAAATTCTTACCTAAACGCTTAGAATGCTCTAAAATATTGGATAAACAGCTTCAGATCTATAAGTACGATCTAAATTATAAAGTTACATTGAACATTGACGAACGAATGGAAATTCCTTATGCAAATTGTTTAATAATACAAACATAGTAAACAAATCGCTACATAGTGTATCGATTCATCTATTATTCGAGTACGCGTGTCTCTGAATAAAAAAGAAAATTTGTCTACAATATCAACAAAGAAAATTTGTC